CTTTTGGTGCCCCATTTGGATAAAAAAGCAGATTGGAACGTTGAGAGCAAATTCAAGCGGAAGATGGGGAATACATATAGAATAGTGTTAGGGACTAATGAGTGGATGCACGAGCACCACTGTTTACGACATTCGGCCATATCACTCAGTGTATCTAACCACCGGTGACCATCATTCCGAGGTCCCCAGCCTGGGAGTCCAACGGGGCCTATGTGACCTAGTCTCCTGGTCAGGATTTTCATACCCTCTTACCAGGTCTTCGTTTGACCACGCCTGACCCTTTTCCAACCAATACCTGCCTCGGAAAATATCGCTCGCCGTGGCAACCTATTTGGTGACATGCATAAAACGTCCCAACCAGCGTAATCTATGAAGGTCGATCACTTGCTCCAGTGGATGACCGCGACTGCCAAAAACTACGCTTAACCTCAGAATTGCTAGTCCAGTTACCCCACCAGACTCATGCAATGCGACATAGATAGCGGTGTTCGAACACACAATATTTTTATCCTGTTACCGTAGTGACCAATTCTTTGCACCGTAGAGTAGTACTGGCCGAACTGCTGCAGCATATACTGAACCCTTCACAAACAACCGGATGTCGCTTCGGCGCCCTAGGTGTATCAGTTTGGCAAATGCCAACCGAGCCTTTTGTATACGCGCCGACACTTCATCTGTGATGCGTCCTCCAGGTGAGATATAGCTCTCCAGATAACAAAATTTGTCTACTTTCTCTACTACTTCCTCAGTCAGGGTGAGGTTAGGGACTGGATCAACCCAATCTTGGAGCAACATTTAACACTTTGAAGGTGCGGAACGCATGCCGAACATGGCTACACTAGCACTCAAACTATCCAGAAAAGCTTGCAACTCACCTGGATCTTAACTCAGTGGCACAATGTCGTCTGCATACTCTAGATCAGGCAATCTGCCACCTGGGAGTAAATCGATACCGCTATCCTCGCACGAGGATAAGACTGTTTCGGGAATTGAATCTGTCACGAATTTAAATAGAAACGGATCCCCACTAGCGGTAGCTGATCGTGATGTAATCAATTGAGTCTATTACTGCATATTTTGCGAGTTTCCGTGTAAGATGGTAGTTTCCTGTGGGAGAAGTTGGCGCTCGATAGCAATAATCCTATAGTCCGATTAAAGTCGAAGCAGGCGATCTCCGTTGTCCGTCAAACTGGCTGGTATTGCATGCGGGTCATCAAGTTTACTTTGTGACTCGTTCAGCTATCCCATTTGAGCTATGAAATTGTTGGTGACTACCGCGATATCTATCGAACTAACAGGTTGAAGCAGTTGAGGAAGGTCCGCGAAGAATTCATCGTTTATTTTAGGTGCACTGCAATCAATCAGTGCATGTACAGACAAGGTACAAACCTGAACGTCTTTGTTCCGTTGACCCGTACTGAAGTGGACCTCTGATCATAATGCAGTCAAGAAATGAACACTCGGCGGAATCTCTTTATCAGAAACTCCGCGAGCGTCTGACGCCGAATTGTCTGACACGCGAAGAGTTATATGTGACCATGAAGTTGGGTCAGAAGAACGTGATGTGATTGAAGTAGTCTTGAATTCGTTTTTCAGTTCGTTTTCAATTGAAAGTTTCAAGGGTTCTAACTGAGGTAGTTTTTTGGTCGATATAACAAAGTGTGCGGACGTTGAATGCAGTTAAGTAAAATGGAGATTTTGGTTTCATCGACGAAATAGCTTCTGTCTGGAAGTCCTTACTAGTCATATACTGAACGATACCCTCTTAGTGGTTTAAACAGGTGGCACCATGTAAGATTTGGGAGTGAGAGAAATGANAAATGACTAGATAAATGAAAAAGAGGGTCTTCCGAATGGGTGCTTGAGATTTCAGGATACGGCAAACTTCACGGTAGCTCACATCTACGGAGTTTTTCCTTAGGAACCGTAACTGAGTCTTTTACTCACAAGTCTGACCTGGTGGGCAGCAGGCATTTACGGGATTTTCTTTAGGAACCCTAATGGGAGCATTTAACTCTAAATTTTAACTCCAAAGACAGTGGAGCGTAAATATAACGGAAGGTCATGACTGGAGCAACGGTGTGGAAAATTCCAGAGATCTTTCACACAAGGCCTTCGGGTTTCGGTCCAGTGTAATGTTTGCTGGTGTGTTGATTGACGGTTCTATGATTGGGATCGTCCCTTAGTCCCATGCCCCTAACGAGACAGACGGAACATGGACGGGAAAGTATCTTATATGTCTGGAGGCTGTCAGGCTCCAAAAGTCTTAATATGTTCGGGGGTGGATGTTTCGAATTGTGGCCTCACGGAGTGTTCCTTTACGACCAGGCGTCTCGAATAGCTTTTACTGGGGAATCCCTACTCATTAGCCTCCCTTAGCGATCTTTTTCCACCAAAATGAGAGGATGAAAAGCCAACATCTCGGTCTATAAGCGGTGCAGTTTCCTCAAAGCAGACTGCATGAAAGAGGCCAGGGACGGTTAAACTAAAACCCATCATGAGGGTATGATAACCTCAGTCAGGAGACTCGGTCATATAAGTCGCTCTAGGCTCCCCGGATGAGGTCCTAGGGATAATAATAACCGATGGTTAGAGCCATTGAGTCATCATCATCATCATCGTACAGCGAAATGATGATGATAATGATGACTCAATGGCTCAATGGCAATGGTTGTGTAGCAAGCAGTGGCGTTCGTACATCTAGTCATTATTGTTGCAACCCTAGTCTATATGAATTTCCTATCTTCTCTGTGACTCTACTCTCAACCTACCACTCTACTATCCTTTCTTATTTTTTTTCTTCCCTTTTTGAGTATACAAAGGCACAATTTTCAGGAAGGAGGAAGCAGCCTATCAAAAAGCTGCCATACAACACATAATGGAGAAAGACAGGTGGTGGTGGTAGAAGTCGAACACATGTTCTCCGGGGTGATAATTGGTGACGTTACCACGGGGCCACCACCACCCTAAATGGACAACCCAAGTACAGCGACCAAAACCGCCACATAGTGTACATGGTTAATAGTTGTAAAAACTGAAACTAAATCTGCGGCTCTAGTAGACGGCCCGCTGTCATGCAGAACAGACTAACTAACCAAAGCGCTGGTTGTGAATCCCCCAGAAAAAATTCATCTGCTTTGGTCTGAACCATTTCGCACTATAAACAACCCTTTTTATTGTTGGAAATTATTGTACCGTGATTTGATTGGCAGTCTGAATCAGATTTGTGTGAAATATAATATAACATTAAAACTCTCGCGATCGAATGGAAGCCCCAGGTAACCCTCTTCTAGGTGCATGAATTAGAGCTGTTTTTACCGTCAAACTGCTCCTCCCTGTGTTTATTTGCTGGAGTGGCCTCTACAGGGAGATAGTGAGTAGTCAAAGAAATCTAAGAGATGCCCGATCAGCTGGTCTTGTGGAACAGCTTTGTCTTGCCTCTACTCATTCCTTTCTGATGATCCTGTAGAACTATTTCAAAATTTGGCACATTTCTCTGAATTTCCTTCACGTTATGACAATTTTTATCTCTCTGATATTCCAAGGCCACAAAGTGTTCGAACCTCCTAATGGATCGCCTCAATTTAACCAACAGACGAACTATGGCATTACTTGCAAGTCGTTGTTACTATTATCACAGTAGAAGCTATGAATTGGTCGGCCGACTGGAAGCTGTTCGACCCTTTTTCCATGCTCGTCTTTGCACTGCCACTCTGCGCTCGGTAAGTTCAGCTCTTTTCTTTTTAATGAGTAGTATTGAAATACCTTTCGTTTTTACCATTTTACACATTATCAAACCTAACTTAATTCCACTCTACCAGTCCACCGAACTTTCAGTGTATATATGTGCATGTGACAATGCATGCCTGAGGGCGAATTTTTGATAACAAACTTCACACATCCGATCGGTTTTCCATTCACTAACTGGGATAATCATTGCATGGGCGGTAATCCATCAGGACGACTGGTTCCGTCCTTCTGATACGTATACTTTTGTTGTTTTTAATAGATTTCTTGATACCCAGAATTTTTCTGCTTATAGTTCCTAATGACATCTGATCAATACATTAGAAATATGATTTTAAGTTAAGTGATCGAATTGGTTGTTTCTTTGCAATTACTCGGTTGTGGTTGTGGCCGTCACGGTTACTTCACTTCAGCGGGCCATGTCGAAACCCCACCCACGGCTCGACTCCCCACTTCCTTTTTATTAATTGGTAACCATTTGGTTTCCCGCTTCTTGAAAATTGTTCATACCACCATGTATCCAATAGAAAAGGTAAAAGAAAATTATTGTCCATGCTATCGATTTCGGTACTTCGCATTAGACTTCTTTTACTGGTATTGCAAGGGTTTTCCATTCAACACTTATTTGAACTGATTTCATCTCCATTTCCAATTATAGAATTATGAGACCCAAGCTGTATTGATCAACTTGCTTCTTCGAAACTACCTGCACTATCAGCTGCACGAACAAGCATCAAAACTGGTGAGTCGAGTGGTTTTCCCGGAAAGTGCACCAAATAACGAGTGGGCTCGATACCTTTACTACTTCGGTAAGTATGTGAGCAACTACGCTGGGGATTCATTTTGCCATCGGTTGATCATCTTTTTTTTATTACACACTTGGGTGTGGTGAACAGCAGACGGGGTAAACCCCATAGTCACGAGGACCTGCTGTTCAGTGGTTGAAATCGGCAACCTAAGCCCCGGAACTTGTAGTGGCGAACCACATAAGGCCCCGATAGGTTAGGTGTGGTATTGAACCGGACGACAGCAGAGCTGCCTACCACCAAAGTCGGGTGGCGGTGGCGGGGCTCGAACCTCGGACCATAGGGTCCAAAGCACGCCGGTGACAGCGACTAAACCGCTGCGCCACCACCATGTCTGGTCATACTTTTGTTACCGTTTGTCTTCTTTTTTAATCTTTTTATTTTTACTTCCTTTTATTGAACATGCCATGGTACAATTTTCCGGAAGGGGGGAAGCGGCCAATAAAAGGGCTGCCATTCAATACACAATGAGTGAAGTCAGGCGGTAGTGGTGGGATTCGAACGCATCCCCGGGGTGATAATTTGGTGACGTTACCACCGGGCCACCACCGCCCAATTTCTTCCTTTGAACTCATTTTGCCATTCGTTAAGGGTGGCTCCTAAAAAAGAAGTGACCCCCTGATTGTTTTGTCACAGTCATGAAGCACAATCACACAAAGGAAAGTTTATAACGCTTCGCGGTTTGAAAAAATCCACGTTTTGTATTTACTTTGTGCTTGACGTCAGTCGTTTAGATTTTTATTCGGTAGTTTTGTATACTTTAATTATATTTAGCTCCGAGGTGGTCTATCATTTATCATCGTGGATTGTCGATTATGGTCCTCATGAATCATAATCTCAAGAAAACCCAATATTTCATCTCAATTAAAGTCCAATGCTCCGAATAGAAATACATCAGTCGATCACCATTATCCGGCATTGGCCATTAGAGCCAGAGTATCCTCCGAAATGATTCACTACAAAAGAGACCAACTGTTGTTGAAGTTTCCGGTTAGAACTATAACGTCTATCTTCTGTGCTTCCTTGGGAGGTCGTATAATCAATTGGAGCTGAGATCATCGCTATTGAAAGACTATATACCTTCTAGCTTTAAAGAGACCTTGCAGCAGCCAACATTTTCATTTCACAAATGCGACTATCTAAGTGACTAATCTTTGGTTGTCACCTAGGACGTTTTCCGTTCAAAAATATTCAAAAGTGGCACCTCTTAGTCCCTTAATGAGGTAGATAGAAAACGAACAGTCATCGCGAGATGAAATAAAAGCAGCATTACCTGGTTGATATCCCTAATCTCCCTTTCGGGCAGATACACATGCTAATAGCCTATCAAGTACTTTTCAAACTGGACTGTTGTCGCAAACACTTGGGTACACAGAGACCAGTCTTTGTTTACAAAGATACAGAAAATCATTAGAGTTATGGCTTGAATACGGAGTTTTTTCTGGTGGGTGAACTGAGATCATCACACGCTATAAGATCCTCGGTTGTAGGAGTGGTAGTGTGAGTGATTTGGGAAAGCGTGAGGTTTCGCATTTCCTTGTTTGTTTTTCAACTGTTGTCTGTTAGGGAACCTTTAAGTATTGAAACACTTGGAATTCAAGCACTTATTGGTTCTTCCATGGTATAGACGATAGTGGCCCAGTGGTAACATCACAAAATTATCACCCCGGGGATGTGTTCGAATCTAACCACCATAGCCTAACTTTTCCTATTGTGTGTTGAATAGGAGCCCCTTGATTGTCCGCTTCCCCCTTCCTGAAAACTGTATCTTTGTACATACAATAAAAGGAAATAAAGTGAAAAAGAAATAAAAGAATGAAATACGACGTCTTCCTGGGGTAATGCGTCACTGAAAGTTCATCAGAAATTTCGTTCACACCACTGCACGCACCTAAATTTCGACAACAGCTATGTGCTGGTGTGTTCTGTCCCATTTCCGAATTTTCACTTTCACGCTCTCACAGTTTGAGTTAATTGACTAGATATTGATGTTCGTATTTACACTTTTTATGAAACAAATTCGTCGAAAACTATATCTGTTAGTTTCGCTTTGGCGTACTAAATGTTTCTTAGTATTCTACATTGTGCGAACAATCTTGATGGTGATGAGAATCGTCATTCGTTTAGGAGCCATCAATCACAAATCTGGCAAGCGCTTAATTCCTCAGTGATCGCAAGTATTAGGGTATATCTTGTTAGTTTGGTGCATTAATTAAAGCAAATCTTTTGTCCATTTCGTTCCTATTTCACAAAAATTTTAGTTGCTTTGTTTCTCACAGTATTCGGAAATGTTTCATTGTTTGTTCCCGATCACGGCTTTGTTCTAGCTGCCACTGTGGAAAGCAGTGTCTTGTTTATATAGGCATACGTTCTCTCGATTGTTGTTCTCCTGAATTTGTTTTCCAATAGTTTTTCATTGATATTAGGTTGTACGGTAAAGGTAAATTGTATTAGGTAAAACCAAACTGTTTGATTTGTTCTTCAAAGTTTCTAATTCAAATGTAGTCTCATCCACTGGTTCGTTTAGCTTAAGTTTAGTGGTGTTTAAATGCGTGAACTTCCCTTTTGAATAATGGTTGATTTTATCCACCTTTCAGGTTGGTTGAAAGCAATTCAATTGGATTATTCTGCTGCCCATGACCATTTGGTATCAGCTCTTCGAAAAGCACCACAAAATTCGGCTATCGGTTTCAAACAGGCCCTTCACAAGTTAAACACAGTAGTCGAGCTGTTGTTAGGTGATCAACCGGATCGTTCCATATTCCGACAAGCAAACTTTAAAGTGGCCTTGCAACCCTACTTCCAGTTGACCCAAGCAATTCACACAGGAGATTTGGGACGCTTCAATGAGGTTCTTCGAGTACACGGAGCACAGTTTTCTGCCGACAAAACTTACACTTTGATTCTTCGTTTGCGTCACAATGTGATCAAGACTGGTGTGCGTCGTATATCCCTGAGCTATTCCCGAATTTCCCTGGCCAGTATTGCCGAAAAATTGCAATTGGATAGTCCAGAGGATGCTGAGTACATAGTGGCTAAGGTGAGATTACAAATAACATGTCAAACCTTTTGTTAAATTCCCACCCATACTGATAACATTGCTGGAGTAGAAGAGTATTTTGTGCATACCTGAGCAACTTGGATCAGTTGCTCGTTTCTTCAGAATTTTTCATGCCGCTTCATTAATCGTCTACTGGTGAAGTCGAATTCGAACAGATCCTCTGTTCACCCCTCTTCATGCTTTTATACACTTGAGTTTACTTGTGGGTCAAACTGAGAGGGAAGCTTGTCCGTCACGGTTTTCGAACATACCCAAGCCTTTGGCATTGCTGAGTGATAAAGTTTTGGCAAGTTTAATGGGGTTGCACATACTGGTTTGTGGTACGTATGTAAATCGAACAAAGTTCTTTAGGATGACGAGTAGACGCGTTCATCACCTACTTCAGATTGCTAACGGCTTGAGTCCAATATTTAGTACTTATTTACATTTATAATTCATACACGTCTGGGTTCAAACTGTCCCAAACAAATCCTGATGCAACAATCTATATAAACAGAAAATGTTGAATGATTTACTGGTGGGCCCGTTGCTACTAAGCTACGCAGGCCAAAGCAGGTGAATTTTCTTGTGGGATTCACGACAAATACCATTGACTGGCCCCAGTTTGATCTTCAAAACAACTGGGCTCTGTGTGAAAACCTCAGTTCATTAGGAATCGGTGTCCAGTTAATCGGATCATACGCCATTTGGATGCAGTCGTACTGTGAGATTCTTAGCTGGTATTTACGGCAGGATGTCCCGCGTGAACAGATACATCAAACAATCGCAACTGGACCGAATCTAGGTGTGGGCTGGAACCGTTGACAGAAAGGATGTTCTCCATGGATAGCGGGTTGACTGACAATCTGAAAGACAAGAGAATGCAGACACTGGTCCAGTGAGACATGAACACGATTCACAACCAGACGGAATTGCGATTTGCCAAGGTCGTTAAAATGCGTCCAAATTACACAAGGCATCTGGATGTCCAATCGAAACCAGGCTCGATCAGCGTGCGCAGGGCTAAAACACCAGTGGGATGACCTGCTGTTTGATCGAAGTTGAAAAGTCGTCTATACTGTGCCACTGTATGATTAGTTCTGCTTTACGGTTATGAGACCTTGAGTTTGCGGGTAGAAGACATCCGCCGCCTAGTGGTTTTCGACAATCGATGCTTACGTAGTCTCATCATCATCGTACAGCGAAATACAGTGAAGCGAATTTCGCTGACCGCTGCCGAACTCGCAATGCATACAAGGTTAGTGGTGAAATTTAAGGTGGGCAGGGATTGGATCTATTTTGAGGGAGGGAGAAGGTGAGCCACTGTGGTCATCATACAGAGTATGCAATGGAACTATGCACACATACCGTTTCAAGCATTCTGACCTGATAAGAAACGACAACAAGAACGCCACTGCTACCGGTTCGCTGCCATATCCTTCAATGTCTTCAACCAACCAGTTGTGGAGTCTTTCAGATCCCAACCTGAAAGACGAGACACCTACTCTACCTAATGGCTCTGTGCATTTCTTCATGCCTCGTCTCCACATCATCTGTTGACCTCCACGTGGTTTCCTCCAGCTCCGATTAGCCACAGCGAATAAAGCGCGGTGCGGCAGACAATGGCTGGGCAAACGCAATACGTAACCTAGCCAGTGAAGTCTACTAACCCGTTCGCTCCATCCAACGTGGGCTAAACTACGTAAACACCGATAATCAAAAACTTCTAGTCGACTGATATCTTCTACTCCCAAATTCAAGGTCTCACAACCATAAAGCAGAACTGAACGAACGGTGGCACAATATACTCAACCTTTCAATTTCAGTGAAACGTCTCGTCTACACCGAAGGTGTGTCAATCCTGCGTACGCTGCTCGAGCCTTGGAAATGCGGCGGTTATCTCCTTTGCTGCGCTACCGTCATTGGTCACACAACTACCTAAGTAGAAAAATAATCCACCATGACTAAATCTTGACCATTTAGTTTCAGAGCGGGAGTAGACAAAACCCAATCCTGCAGCATCACTTTGCACTTTGAGGGTGCAAAGCACATACCGAATGTGGCTTCTGCTTTACGCATCCTCCATACATTCAAGCAGACAGACGATGTCATCGGCGTACTCTAAATCACACAGCTTTTCTCCAGCTGTCCATTCAATACCTACGTTTTGGAGTCCCCTTAGTACGCTCTTTAATATTTCGTCTACGACGAAATTGAACAGGAACGGCGAAAGACCCTTGATGAACACCACTGCTGGTGACGAACAGCCTACTTTGTCCGTTGTAGACCTTTACACGACCGGAGGTATGTAAGTACAGTGACCTCAGTAGGTTGACGTACTTCTGGGGCATTGCTTTTCGAAGAAGGTAGCCCATCAGAGCTTCGCGGTCAACTGAGTCGAAGGCTCCTTTCAGGTCAAGGAACACTACGATTGTTGGTCGACGGTATGACAGCTCAAGGAGCTGACGCAACGTAAAAATCTGATCAATACATCCACGGCCAGGCCGGAATCCGGCTTGCTGTTCACGGATGTTCTTTCATAGAGGCGTCAGGCGTCGAAGTATAACCGAAGCTAGCACTTTGGTGACGATCGGGATCAAACTTATCCCGCGGTGGTATTCGTATTCGTATTCGTTGCGGGATCCTTTCTTGAAAATGGGAACGATCACTGAATCGCCCCAAGATGATGGAATGTGCTCTTGCATCCAAATGTTGCGCAGTGGGGTAGTAATAGCGGTTGCGAGGTTATCACCTCCCATCTTGAAAACAGTGAGATGGAGCTCATCTGGTCCTGCTGCTTTTCCTCGTTTCAGAGCTTGAATGCAAGACCGAACTTTTGCTTACGTTGGAGGATCGCATGACACTACCCACGGAGCTTCAGTCGGAGATGGAGCAGCCTGGTTAGCACTAGCCCAGCTGAACTGTTCGCTGAAGTATTCTGCCCAGCGATCGAGTCGTTGACCCCTATTGTGAATAGCCCGTCCCCTATTATCGCAGACTGTTTCACTGACTGGAGTTCGCCCAGTTCGCCGACCTCCCGTATTGCGTATCATTCGGAACAGTCTTTGACTATTCCCTGATGCAGCTGCTACTTCCATTTCACTAGCTATTGTTGCCCACCAGTTCTCACGGTCCTTCTTGAGGATCTTCATGAGCCGACGTTGTAGATGCCACCTAACTCTATTTTGATCCTGACAGGTCGGGACTTGCCGTTTTTGCTTCATCAGGGCTAATGACTCCTGAGGTATCCAGTGCCTCCGACGGGTTTGAGGCTCAGACCTGCAAGCAGCATTCGCTGCGAAATGCATTGCTCACCTAATTTGATCCCACTGCTCGTCTACATCATCACGTTGAGGCGCGCTTAGCTCACGCACTAGCCCTGACTCAGAGTGCATGAATTGTTGGAACAGACAGTCGTTGATGAGCTATCCGATTTTGCTGCTGAAGGTAATGGCTGCGAACCGACAGCAATGGCGAGCATACTGTCACTTCTTATCAGACCAGAATACTTTAAAATGTATGTATGCACACTCGGACTGTAAACTCTGTGTTGACCACAGAGGTTTGCTTTCTTTTCCAGTCCCGAAAATTTAGTGCAGTCCTTATCCTCCTTACACATTCTCGCTTACCTTGTATGTAACATGAATTTGGCAGCGATCAGTGAAGTTCACCTCACCGTATTACGCTGTACA